CTAACAGAAGTGACTTTTAAAACAGGTGAGCACTCGTACTGCTACATAACCAAGAAAAACAAGTCAACTCAGAAAAGGATTCCATGTTAGTGAGATGAGCGAAAGCCTATCAATATCAAAAAACAAGGAATCTCACCTTGAGGAGATCGTGGGCAGTGGCTCGTTTCTCAACGTCCACCTCGAGACAGCAGTCAAGGAAGTCACGGAACTCAGAACTCAGTTTGTCAGCGTCCTTTATCTCCGGTTTCCCGTTGGTCGCGATTAAGTAGAGGGCCTGCAAGTAACGAACACAAACAGGTGCACATGCATTCAGGATGGGTAGTAGTCGCCCCGAGCAATTCATCGAACAACTACCAATGCAATGCAGCCTCCACCAGTAAAAAGGTCCGTAGGGTGGTTAAAAAGTCTACAAAGAGGTGGGAATGCATCCACTTTACCATGGACAGATGATAAATGTGCGACTGGTGGAACGGACTGGAACATTTAGGAATGAATGATTTGGTGCACATGTTCAGCGAAATTAAGTGAAGCAGAAAGGTGTTAAAAATCATTCCAGTAGCTGCAAAACAACCCAAATTAACAATGTAAACATTAAGAAGTGGGAAAGTAGTACACACAGTGCATTGATGGTTGGTACACTCGTGCCACCAGCGGTTCACTGAAGGAAAGCCACTCAGCATTCTTCAGTTTGGGAAGACTTTGTTCTCAAAAAGAGAATCCGAGACAGAATGGGGATGGGAGAGTACCTCAAACCAGACTGAGACTTGTAATTCTCAAGCGGGTATGCAAAGAGGACGCTAATGCGGTGATATTGCATTCAGAAGTGGGCATCATGCCAATGGCCGCACCCGACGCCGTTGCTGATGGAAGGCAGTGATGGCAGCAGGCGCATGCACGCAATGTCAAGGAATAAGTAAGGTGGCTCGTCAACGAATTCGGCATTATCAACTCACACCTACAGACGATTTCAAGTAGGGTACGGTACACTAATGGAACACTCATCCGTCCCCATGACGACCAATTATCCGTCCACCTGTAGTGGTGACTCCATTCACAAGAGATGGCAGTCATTCGCGTTAGCACGTGGTCAGCCCAATATCGGACACACAGCAGGCCGACACATGTTGAATTTGCTCAAGGAGCCAATACGCTTGTTTAGACGGTGAACAAAACGTGATCACATTCACGACTATCCACCACTTTGACAAGTTGGCACGCGCTTCACACGAAGACAAGCCAGTTGTTGCAGAATGATTCGACCACACCGACACCTCTCCCACTGCCGAGACCTTGTGTGCATTAGCTCAACGCTGAGATAAGTGTAAAACTGTGGAAGAGGGACATGCAGATGCAAATATCCCGTGTGACTTGACCATCACCACCACACCCACCACCAAAACCGATCACGCAATCGGTCGCATTACAAGCCACAAACAATCCTTTTTCCACCAACATAAATTCATCTGGTGCAAGCATCAACACCGCGGACACACAGAACTTCGTCTCTACTTTCGGATACGGCGACCTCGTACGGAGGCACACGTGTAATTGTGATCCAGATGAAAGCATTCCGTAGAACCAATCAGGAGGCAAGATGACTCCTTCCGGGTTCATAGGCGCGATTCAAACTGCCTCACAGAGGCAAACTTCTCAGATCTCTGAACTAATGTTTCGTACTTCCGGTTGTGGGCCGAAAAGGACACCCACCTCCACTGATGTTTTGAGGCTATCTGAAATACTGCGATCAAATGTGATGATCGGAAGTAAAGAGGGAATATCAACTCCTTCTATACACTCCTTGCTGAACCGAAAAGGGCTGAGGAGAGAAATACGTGCAGGCAAATGGAAAAATTAACATGTGCTACCCAAGATTAACATGCAAAAGTGTTTTGAAGCAATCCAGCATTCCAGTTCCCGATCTAGGGAGTGCTTATGAGTGTTTGGCTTGACCACACGATCCACACGCAAACAGCAAAGGTAAATGAGACATCGAAGTGAAGTGAAGCCATTGAGGTGAGAGGAGGGGACTACAAAGGGGGGTAGGTTGAAAAGCACCCGACTGGCATGAAATTGTGGTTGCCTTTCTTTTTTGTCATCGAAACAGGTTGGCGCAGAAGTGAGCCATGACCTTGGAACAATGCTGACCTAAAATTTACATCAACTCCTTGTTACTAAAATCCCTCTCTAATGAGGGCAAACAGCTACCCACACTTTCTTTAATTCAACCTTGTCTTTCTTCAGAAGCGGTCCATCAACAACCGTCATTAACAAACCATATATTATCTTTAAACATCCTTGACATGAACTTACAAGCGCGGCTATCGCATTGACAGCATTGTCACAATCTTCAAGTCGAGCTATACTGCTTAAACTTGAATTTGGAGGTTCCTTCTCATACTCCTTCAACGCTCCGCCAAAGATTAAAAAATCAGCAACACCAGTTTGCTGTGAATTATAAAGGACGAACTACAACAAGTGGTTCAAGATAGGATATTGCTGTGGGACTGAAAGATGGGACTTTCTGCTCCTGCCCCAATCTGAGTTTAGGCTACCGGCTGATCTTTTTGACCCATCTCTCTTCCTTCCACCTCCTCCTCCTCAGATTTTATGGCCTGAAATATTTGGAACACGGCGATAAATCAGTCAACCGTTTTGAGGCAATTCGAGACCAAGAAAAGCTTTAAATTTACCAGTTTTAAAATGGATGGATCAGTAGAGGTCGGAGACTGTAGGCTTTTGCCCCATTTCACATGATCAACATTATCACAATCATTGCTATCATGCTCCAAATGTGCTTTTACCTCCCGGAAATTTGTCTGTTTGAAGACATGCGACGGGCCGCCGAATGCTATGGTTGAAGGTGGAGCAAGCAATTGCGATATTAGTTGCTGTTACAAGGATGAGGATGGCGTAGTCACCGATTCGTACACATGGAGCATGCCATCTGGAGTTAGGGGAGTGAGGGGTGGAGGACAACCACGTGGATTAAGGTTTCTTTCTGCAGGTGAGCCACATTTCGTGCATTGAGGCACTTGTACATGTGCTTTGCCGCATTCCACTTCCGTTTGGATAGGTGATTGCAGAAGCAGCAGCCGAACATCTTCTGACTCTAGGTATTCACTACACGAATCTTCGACCGAAGTAAGGACAGACTTAATACCGCCCTGGCGCCTCTTTTGACCGTTCCTAATCAATACTAAGAACTACGGGCTTTATTTTTGGTTCGGTGGAGCCGATGAGAACACTTTTAACAGCCTGCAACCAACTGGAGGTACTTGAAGAGGCCGAATCGGTTGTTTGTGCACTCGACAGCTCTGCGTTGATTGCATCCAGGGCGGGTTGGATAAGGAAGTTGTCTGTAGGATTCCACGATCCACCGTCCACGTCTTATCTCCACTCCACAGATTTTAGCTTCAACTCCTCACACTAGGCAGGGAAACATGTTTATTGCGCTGTGGGTTATCAGCTTTTAAACTACCTTTCGTTAACATTTACGTGTCTTCCATATTTCTATTCAGCGCTCCAAGATACGGCTTCTTCTACTAGGGTGGACAAAAGCGTTTCTCTATCTGCCGCTGTGGCTACGCTGTTTTCTGAAGTCAGCGTCTCAACGGCCCATCCAGAAGGTAGTGGCAATGACAAATCGACTGCGTCAAGGCGTCCAGAACTGTCATCTCCTGATGTGGTGACGAGTACCTCTGAAGCCATGAAGTCTGGTGCAAAAAAGTCCGCAGCACAAGAACTTTACACAAGCAGGAGGAAATATGGAAACCAGGAAGATTTCGTGTGCAAGAGAATCGCTGTCTTTAGGGGGGGAGAAGAAAAGTGACGCATTGGGCGGAACCTACAATTCTCCGATCGACGTCATAGGTGACCGCAAACCGACTTTAGACCCAACCTCAGAGCGCCCTATTAATGTAGACGACTTCTATCTTTACAGGGATTCGGATTCTAGTTCTTCGTTTTCCAAAGATGCCAAAGCGGCCTTCAGTTTATCGGAATGCGCGCATGATAGGCTGGTGTGTCAAACAAGCCTCAATTACGTTGTAGAGAATAGTTTTACCAGCCTCTCATCAAATGCTTGTATTTTCAATGGTGCAGAGTATTCACTGTTGCTTGAAGCAGCCTCTGAATACTTACAAGAGCAGGCGTAACAAGGCAGAAATTCTCCTACTGCTGTGAAAGAAACCATGTCATCACAGTCTTTCAATGAAGGTGGTAGATTATCTGTCTGTGGATCTGTGGGTTACCTAGAGACGTCCACAAACTGGCGGTTATTTACAAGGTCTTAAAGAGGTACCCATGGAAATCTGTGGTAACGCCCAAAACGATTTGTGGTGCAAGGTATTGCCTGATTATTTGTCCTCGCCAATTTGGCTCACTTATGGATGCTTCTTGGGCTCTGATATTGAAGTACACTATTGCCAAGGTCTGGTTTGCAGTGAAAGTTGAAGGCGTTTTAATACAATTTTATTTTAATGGAGTATATTAGAAGTGATTATAAAAGCTTAAAAAGGTTGAAGAACTGTGTACTGGTAGAATTGTTCAAGACCTAAGCGGAGGCAGAGATTTTTGACCGTGTTAAACTTTAAGGCTTTTCGCTTAAGACGTCTCTTGATGTTAAGTTACCAGTTAGTACTAGAGCATTTTTGAAAGATAGTAAAAGTGGACCCAAAAATATCTACAATGCCAAATTTTTAGCAGAATCAACCATAAAAGGTACTGAATACATCCATTCCGAAAAACCAAAATATTAAAGTGGTAAGCTGTGACGATTTGTGTTGCTCTCCGAGACTTCTCTGAAGACGAAAGAAGACATAATACTCTTGCAGAAGACGTAATAACGACGTATAGGAGGGCTGAGGGCTAAACTGCATGACCGCCAGGATAAAGCACAGTGGCGGGACCTCTAAGTTATCGTTGCCAAATCCAAGACGTAAAAATTGTAATATAGCAGTTTGACTTGTGTTTAAGCATGTAGTTTTAGCGGTTTGTGATATATCTTGGATAGTCCGGTCTAAAGGATATGCCTCCAGCCTTCGTGCTATCCCATGCAATAGTGTCAAAAGATAAGCGACATTTAAATGCCGCAAAATGTCAAAGAAAATATGTATTTTTCGAAGAGGTCCTCATCCATCTAAATACCTGCCGCACGAAAAACCTTAATACTAAAACAAACTTTGGAAATAGCGCACGACAGAAAACAAAGGCAGTTTGGGAGCCAAAATTTTAACAATCAACTTGTACATAACATTAAAAATAGGCTTAGCCGAACATTACCTTCAGGATGATAAAAGTTAAAATTTTGGTTTTTTGTAAAGATCGCTACTTTTTAACACCATTTGCTGTTAGCAAAAACCCCCCTCTTTAGGTTTTAATTTTGTTTATGTTAATCAATGAGTATTTCTGCGCGATTAAAGGTCGGTTTTGCCCAGTTCATCGGCTGGGGCCAGAAACCAATTGTCGCTACAGCGATGGTGCTGTGACTTATACGAGCGGGTAGGGTAGATATTTGTGGTTTACTTTACTTTATGGACAATGTACTTTGAGTTAAATGATCAAGACCTTGGGTTGCTGTGTCTTTCCTAGCGTTAGGTACTCATAATTTCTGCTAGTTTATTACCCGTTTCTTCACTTTAAATCAAGGAATACGACCTGAAAGTGTTAAGCATGTTACTTTATTAATTTTCAAAAGCAATGTCTGAATATTATAACTCTACGTTTATTCTAGCCTAATACTTAAATGAAACTCGAAATGTGGAGAATAAATGAACCTTTCACGCAGAGGTTTCCCATTGTGTTTATTAGATGACTGCAACTTAACATTACAAGCACTAAGGACTATCTAGCTTTTTGTGGTTTTTAGCTAAGGACGCCATAACTAAGGCGTTTAAAAAAGATTCGAGTGAGGAATCGAAGGAGGGGAGCCAAGTTGCTTGTTCAAAACCATCAAAAGACCCTAATCCAGAGAGTGTCGAGTCTCCAACTCATGCTGATTACACTATGGACAATACCAAGCCAAAATAACTTGTGGGTGAGTAGGTGCACTGCTGGACAGTTTTGGAGTTAGCAAGGTCCTTCATTTCTATGACGATAGCAGCCGAAACAGGGCTTCTGCTGCACTGCTATCCGATGTCACCTGAAGTTCGCTTGCACAAACTCACAATTCTCCAAAACTTCTCTCATTTTATTTTCCTCATGACCTAAATTGTCTTTTTTGATTTTTAAATAATTCCAGTGTTAATGTAACCTACCTTTACCATGGCATTTCCCGGAAATGTATTGTAGGGGTATTTATTTGTCGTGTTTCACTTACGCCTTACAAAATCAAGTTAAGTAAACGGTCTTTTTGTTAAATTCATCAAGAGTTTAGAAACTATTTTTAATTTATGTTAAAATGTATTATCCAGGCACTGCTGGGCCAAATCCTATCATAGTTTTTGCCGGCAGTTGTTTGGAGGACAGTCTTATTTTTTAAGAAATAATCAGCTTGTGCTTGTTCGCAAAAATTTAACTTAATCGCAAAGTTGTGCACGCATACTTGCCTTTGCCTGAGTGGTAAACAATAATCTAGCGGCAGTACTGAGTATTTTACAACTATGTCGATTGCAAAACTAGGCCTTCTCGGATAGAAGACCTTTGGGTGTACTTAGGAATGAGCACGTGACCCCACTCACAATCACAAGGTCACCCTGCTTATGTATTTTTTTGAAGTAAAATCAAATGAATTCTGCCAAGTAGCTGTTAATGATAAAGTAGCGTGTGCTCATCTGTTGAATCCGACAGTCTTCGCAACGTTAGAATTTGAATCTTGTCATCAAGGTAGGTCACGAGGGTGACTCAACGCCGTACGAATTGGCATGACAATGATGCTCCTGTCTGTTTATTACTGTTAATCTTCCTGTTTGCGCAAACTACTAGAAATTACTTCCTTTGCTTTTTGGCCCTGTTCCTTTACCAGATGATAAGTCTGCCTTGCACCCAAAATCAGTATGCATTTACAGGATTTTTCCTGAAAAAATGAGCTAGATGTTTGCAGGATGCAATGGTACTGACATTCCTCTCTGCACAGACCAGGAAAGGCACTTTCGAAGAGCCACTTGTTGGTGCAAATTCTTGTTACTCCCAATAAAAGTGCGCTACTTATCTCCTCCATGGCCTTAAAATGGCCATCGACCCCCAATTTCCAAAATACAATTTTTATTTGTTAAAATTAAGATTGTTCTTGGATTCTTCACGGTGCCTATTTCAATCTCTACATGGTATACTGATGAATACATCCAGTATTCATTCACAAACAATCAAGACCACTAGCATCCTTTATTTATGCTGCATTTTGTGGCTATTTTAAGTTGAGTTGTCGTGAACAATATTTTCATCTGAAACCCACCATTCTTTCACCTTTAGCATATTTGCATCCAGTTTTCTTAATCTAGGATCAGTAGGCGGCCTGCTCATGCTCAACGTACAGCTCAAATTTTTCAAAAAAATCCAGGACTGTTGTAAATGCGACTACACGGCTCGTTATTCTGTCCTGTTTGTCTTCACAAATACGTGGGTCACGGAAAACGGGTGTACTTTTGAAAACGAAACATTGGCTTATTTAATTTGCGATAAATTTTGGCCAATAGAGTTCATAACCCGTCATTTTCTGTAACAGTTTTTGCTAAATTTAGGAAAAGCGGGCTTATTTGGCTTATGTTCCTTTATTGGCAGTATTTCCACGATTTTCAGATTCAAAAAGAGGAAAGAACTAAGTCGCAAATAAAAGGCAGTATTGTGCAAAAGAAATATATTGTTTGAAACACTAGTACTATGTGATAAAAATTTTTTTAATAATATCTGGGCGCTAGGACAGAGTTTACCTGTATTTTGACAATTAATTAAATAGCTATTTTTAGAACAACTAAAGGAGTTGAATGCGAAATAAAGGTTTGAGTGATAGGTGAGGAGGTTATATTAGGCACCTATTTGCCTTACTATTTTAAGACTTTATTAGTTTCCAAAGCGATAAGTTATGGGTGCAGGCTTAGGTGCTCATCGATGCCGACGAAAGTACATCAAATTTGGCCTTTGCCTTTTCGTCAGGGTCTAGTGAGTACGTTGCAAAAATTATGCCTTTTGAATAGTATATCTGGGAGGCTAACTTAAGGAAATATGCTTATAGTACATCACATAACGAGTCACGTGCCAACTTAAGATTCGATTCGGTTCATTTTTGCAATTTACTAGCTATAAGTTGCTAAAGTTGTAGTAATGAGATCGCATTAAAGTAGCTAGACAGTTGTGGGTTTTGTCATTGGTTTTTATGATCTCTTCTTATAACACATTGCTGTAACTTAAGGGTGCGATTGGACGGCAAAGTTTTTTGTGAATTACACAGTCCCGTGTTTTCATTTCAGCAACAGTGTTTGGTTCATGCCTATGGTCTCCTAGTCCTTTGGGTCAGTAACAAAAATTTCCACGATTAACATTTCCAAAGATCTAAAACCCTACACCAGGAGTAAGGAGACACAAGTCAAGCAAGGCGTTGGATAACACATCTGATCTGCAAGGATTGAGGGTGGCCGCTAGAGGACCTAACGGGGAGGGGGGCTAATGAAGCCGCGTTGACTTTTCCGTTCCACATTGCACCAGTGATATAGTAAAGAAGCCAGGTGTGAAAAATTTATTCATAACTATGAACGATAGAGGAGCAACATTAAAAAGGTAGAAAACTTATTAAGACATAAGTTAACACAGAAGATTTCTTTGCGAAGCTTCCGTAAGTCATTCATTGAACTAAATAGCTTGGCCAACTTATTGTCACTCAGGTAGCCTAGGTGGGCAAAGCCATGACCTTATGTTAATAACCGAACTCTGAAATCAGAGGTTCTGTTGAAACAAATTGAGTTTCACCACGGCGTATTTATAAGTGAGAACCGATGTCATTCAAACTAGTAGCTATACAATATGCCATTTGTTTGTTTAACCTGCGGTTTTGGTGAGTGACTGTTTAGGGGATCCGCCGTTTTATGTCCGCTGGACGGCTTGGCCTCCAAGCCATTCCAGTAACCCTAAGCCCCACTGTGTATCGGGAATACATATTCTGCCCAAACATTCTGCCTTCTTTCGTCTTCAGGTAAGTCCCATAATGCTATACATTATCAAGCAGTGAAAAAGGAAAATGAATTTTGAAAATAAGGAATTTTCATAAAGGTACACCGATGAATGAGCGAGATGGGCTAAGTATTACACAGTCCCTCTCCTTCCCCAAGCGCATTCCCTGACGCACCCATTAGTCAACCTTCCACAACGCCCGTCATAACGTAAATGCCGCTGTATAATACAAAACCAAGATTCTACCGTGCTAACCATCGAACTTCCATGGAACTTAGAAGACGTTCGGCCGTAATGTCACGGATTCCTTTTGGGGATTCCACTGGATTTAAAACTAAGTTCTGTACGAGAACGGCACTGTGGACGAGGAATGTGCTAGGCATCAGGCTTGTCCATTGCCAATCGTAGGAACTCTGAACTAGAAGAACAGGCGTATAAAGAATGACGTCTCATTTCCTCTTACCACTTTGTTCACGCTTCAGTGATACTTAGCCATTTCTACGTAGGTTTTGTGTAGCCAGTAGACAGGTGGAGGAGGTATCGCGTGTTCACTTCGTTGACATATTCATACAGGTGCCGAAGGGAGCTCCCTAACAGACCTTTCCAGGTGATTCATGGCCAATGGTTGTGTTGACTTAGTTGTTAAATCCATTCCTGCTGAACACAGAACTTGGGTATTTTACCAAGGTAGACATCATTTTCAGACCTTTTTCTAGGGGTTGTACCACATCCTACCATGCGCATCATATGCATCTGCCACCTAGCTAAGGTTTATCAACCAGCAGTATAAATAAGGAGAGATGACCTTTAAAATCGGGTTGGCTTACCGCTGTCGTTAATTTAGTGCTCCGAGACTTTGCTGAGGGCGAACGTAGGTACAACAATATGACAGAAAATGCACTTTTAACGTAAAAAATGGTTAGAGCTACTGATATAGTCCCAAGGCGGAGGTCCTAGATAGTCATTTATTTAAGCTGAAAATTAAACAAACAATAAAGGTTTTGCAATTAAGTTTGTTTTATATCTAATCTCTGCGGTTTGTACTTCCATCTGGATGACTTGCCCAAAGCGTGTGTTCCCGGTAGTCAAACTGCTTTGTACTATAGTAATAAAAGGCAAAATAACTCTGAAGTGCTACTGGAAAATACAAGATCAAATATGATTTTCAAAGAGTTTTTCATTAAAAAAGCACTTTGCGTATGCTCATTTTATGCCAAAGACAAAATGTTTCCACTTCCTAAGACAATTCTTAAGTAACACAGAATGTCTAGACTTCAAAGATCCAGCACTTGTAGCTTCCGTTTGCTCACAGGAAAAGCTAAGGCACTTAAGTGTCCAAATTTTAATGTGAACTTCTGCAAAAATATTTGAATGAAAATTTTGTAAGGCTATTAAAAATAAACAGGTAAATAGTATTATGTGACTTTGGTAAAAATCACCAAAGGTGATCTCTCTCTTTTGTTTATATTGGCTAACAGGCGTATTTTTGGTGAAATTGAAGGTCGCCCCTTTACAATTTAGCGACGGCGATCGAAAATTATTACTTTACAGCAATGGGGTGGTGACTTTTGTGTTTGGGTACAATGCCTGTTTTGACTGAATTTTTTCCATTGACAAAGCACTATGGGCTGCAAAATTAAAATCCTTAAGTCGTATTACCTACCTTGTTGCGAGATTTGCAGAGGTTTTGCCTGTTTATTAACTTTTATTTTGCCACGCGTATCAGGTAAATCTAAATTAAAGTATTAGGTATGCTGCACACTACTTTGTTTCAAAGCAGTGCCCAAAACTGAATACTCATCGTTGTTTCAGCTTGATTTTTGATAAGATTCCAGGTTTTGAGATTAATTGAATCTTGTAGGTCTTGATCGGTTTACTGGTTTTCTGTCACTTTGGTGTTTGAATGCCAAAGACTGTGTAATTTTATTTTTAGCCAAAAATGCTGTAGTCAAGGCGTTTAAAAAGAACTCTACCGAGGAAATGAAGGAGGAGAGCAAAGTGACTTGTTCAAAACCATCAAAATACCCAAAACCCGAGAGTGGCGGAACTTCAACTCCATGTAGTGTCATCGTGGATAATATCAAGCCAAAATAACTCGTGAACGATCGCAAAAATCACTTGACAGTTTGGAAGTTAGCAGGGTTCTTCATTTTTGTGACGATAGTAGTCGAACCAGGGTTCCCGCTGTACTACTATCCGATGTTGCCTGAAGTTCGCTTGCCCAAACAAACAACTCCTCAGAAGTTTTCTAATTTTCTTCTGACACAAATTCGCTCTTTTGTATTAACGTTAAATCAGAAACAGTTTAATCCGCGTTTATTATGATGCTTCTTGCCAAGGTGATTTGATGTCACTTGCATGTCAGATTGCATTTATGTCTCATGAATTTCAGATAAATATACGACGTTTTGTTCGATTTATTGTGTAGATTTGGCAAATGTTGTTGATTTCAGCCAAAATACGGGTTAAATCCTATCAAAAAATTTTACTGGTCGTTGTTTGGAGGACAGCTTTCTTAAAGTAGTAATTGGCGCAATTTAAATCAGTACTTACGAAATCGCTTTTGCAAATTATTCGTTGCTTACGTGGCAAACACCACCAAGCGCCAGCACAAAGTATGCAATCTAAATATGCAACTGCGCCACCTACAATACTGGATTTCCTCGCAAACACTATCTTTTGATGCCATTAAAGTAGAGGATGTGAAATTCGCTTGCAGTTACAAAGCGACTCTGTTCACGTATTCGAAATGAGCACGACTTAATGAAGTCCGTTAAGAGGAATTACTTTGAGAAAAGAAATATTGGAGGTAGCATGATGGAATCATTTCTAATTTGAGATAACCATTCCACTTGCCTATGCACAAAAGTAAAAGTGCCCTTTACGACAACCGGTAGTAAGCGCTAATTCCGGTTACTTTTCTCAAAACATTGGACCGTCCTATCCACAGCATCATGATGTCCTTCGTTACTCACTTTTTGAGGACGGCTTTTATTCACAAACTTAATAGTTATTCAGGATTTCTCAAAAGTTCTGCGTCAACCTACCCAATGTTTACCATATGAACACAGTCACTTACCTTCAACTTTTTAATATTGTTTATTTGTTCCACTAGTGAAATAGGTACCGTTGCCAAATTCTTATGTATAGGCTGCAGTATTCAATCAAAGTATTGGATTTTACACCTCTTTCAAGCTGTCGGATTGTTTAAAGATTTCCTTCTATGTCTTACTGCTCCTTCTTCACCAGCATCGTTGCGTGCATTTCCCGTATCCTCGGAGCTAAAGATTACTTCCTCACCCTCAATTCACAAGGCGTCCGCGATTAAAGGGTGTATTGTTCTTCATCGATATTGAACCCCCTACGGTTTGTTTACACAAAATTGGGGTCACTAAAATGGGATGCACTTTTGAAAGCATTTTTTGACCTACTTCGTCATTATCTTTAAAAATCCAAGCTTTGGACATGCAACAAATGTTTGAGTGATTGGTGGGTAGACCATAGTGAGCACATGCTTGTGTTACCATTTCAAAAAGATATTAGTTCTCTAGGCAATTAGATAAAGGCCGCTAGTTTAGGAACTAACATATACCGGTGAAAGTGCGTCGAATTTGGCATCCTGGTTTTCTTCAAATTAAGGTAGGCGCATACAAGCCAAATTGCGCTTCTGAATCAGGTCGCTGGGGCAACAGCTTAAGGTCATGCACTCCTAATACATCACGTAATGAGTCGTGTGCCTTCTTAGAAGTTCATCTGGTTCACTATCACGGAGATGAAAATGAGTAACCTACATTGCCAAGTTACTTGCCAATAGTTATTAAAGTTGCTCACTGGAAATGAGTAGAACTTCATGGGCTCTTCCCTCGGTTTCCGGAGTCTCTCTTAGTGGCAAGACTTTCGAGTGTGATCAGACCACAACATAACGATATTTGCTATACGGGTGCATTAAACTGCTCAGTCTCTCGTGCCTTTGTTTTGGTATCAGACTGTCTTGTTTATGTCTATATTTTTATGATCCTGTCAATTTCCGTCCCATCAGCATTCCTGCTGAGATGAAGCGCTACATTGGGAGGAGACCTGATGCAGCCAAATAGCTGATTACGATATCAGGGCTTCAAGAGTTGAAGACAAATGCCAGAGGACTCAAGGAGCAGAGCTTTGACGCCAATTTGGTGCCAGCGCTAACGCACCAAGGCTTGATCTTAAAAAATGAGTCCACAATCTACATTTAAAGCTGATGAAAGTAACCACGCTCGGCAATAGAGAAGCAATATGAGGGGACGTTTTTGCGCAATTCATTATACTAGATGTATCGGCATTTCGTCAGATATTCCTGCAAAAAGTGATAGAGGTTACTTTAATCGAATTTGTAATACGATAATGGTTTATCCCTCGGTATTGGTGAGGCGTCACTCTTGTGCTTTGAATGGGTCCCCTTGTACCTCGCTAAGTGGGGCTGGTCTTTCGGGCCATGCCAATAACCCAGACACCTTCTCCGTGCTGAATATATATATTCTGCCCGAGTATTGTGTCTTCTTTCGTCTTCAGGGAGTCTCGGGACGCTACATTGGTGGCAGCGGAAAGCGAACCCGATCTTGAAAGACATGTATCCTGATTTTCCACTTCTGCGTGATAAGCCTTGGTGGAGCGGAAGAAGTGCATATGCTACGGATGGGAGAATGGTGATGACTCCTAACAGAAGGGTTGGTGTTGACGTCTACCTTCGGCATCTCTCCCAGTCCCGTGTTCTGCAAAAAAGCTATTAACAACTGAAGCGACACTAGCCGTGAACCATCTGGAAGTTTCGTTACGGATTTCCCCTACCATCCCCCATGGACCTGTTTTAAA